TGTTCAGATTTGTTAGTGTCCAAACTTAACTAGAAATTAATAGGATGGGTTTGGAATCAGACTGCTTTACTAACTTCACTCTGATTTTGGGTGCAAACTTGCATTTCCTATGTGAAAATGAGACTAATAGTAGAACCTATTTCATAGGATTGTGAGGATTAAATTTACATGTGAGGCAGTTATTGCCAATAGTTGTATTAGACGTTAATGCTTCTAAATTTATAATTACATACATATAAAATGGTGGCTTTTTTTCTGTTTTAAAGCGTTAAATGTAGAATATGTGAAAAACAAAGCACAAAGAAGAAAAATTTAAACTACCATAATCCCATAACCCCAAAGAGCCATTATATGACTTTGTAAAAACAGAACCCAGATATTTGTTCTTCTCCAACTACTGTGTGATAAAAGCAGTTAAAATTCCCAAAGTAAATCAGAACTCTTTTACTCATTTAAATATTAAAATGTGAATGTTGAAAGATAGTGAATGTTTGGTGTAAAATGTTCATGATGTTGTTGCTTTTTCCCCCAACTTCTAGTTGCTGGTCATACTGGATTTTCCCCATCATAGGCGCCATTCTCTTAGGTTTCCTGTACCGTTACTACTACCCGTCAGAAAGCAAATCCTCCTGAGGAGGCCTTGTCGAAGTCTGGAAAGCAGATCCACTTGGGAGTGGAAGCTAGAGACTTATTTGGAGGCTGCAGCGGTGCCCTGTTCTCAAATCCTTCCAGTTGTATTCTCCCCCCCTGGAGCCTAGACGGTTGGCTGCACATCCACCTCAGAGCTGGGGACAGGGTCCTCCTTCCTCAGAGCCTTACTCCCGAAGCACCTGCTCATTGTTCGGTGTCCTGGCCAACGTTTCCTGTCTTCACTAGTTTTCACAAGCATCTTTATATTTCATTGTTTTCTGTTAATAACTGCAGTCCATGTGCCCTAGCGACATTGCCCTTTGGTAAAAATGCCTGCTATCCAGTACTTTGTACATTAGCATACTCTACTTTTGAAGCTTTTCTTTATATATACTAATATATACTAATATATATACTAATATATACTAATATATATTAGTATGTGTGTATATATACATATATATGTATTTATGTGTTTATATCTCTATATAAATTTTCTATTCATATTAAATAATATAGTTTGGAAAATCTCAAGTTATATAATACTATTTTGTGGCACTGACTCAATGTAAACATTTTTCTTTACATTCATTTTTATAAGAAAATAAAAAATTGAAGGGTATACATTTGGACTGTCCTACAGATACAAACATGAGTCTAAATGTAGTGTTGCCAGCCCTTCTACATTAAGAAGCCAATAGCCAGTTTCACACATTGGATGAATTGAGTTGAGTTGAAGTGGCCTGTTTCACTAGCAACTTCAAAGCTGGAGTTACTGGTTTGAATATTTAAATTTAGCTACTGCACATACTTATCACTTTAATTCTTATTTAACATTTGAAAGTTATTACTTTGGAGAAAGCAAAGCAATGGTGATTCCAGTATATCAAAATCCATTGCAAGGGATTATTTTAATGACTCTACCAACAGGGACACGTAGACATTCAGACAAAATAAAACTAATTATAATGACAGCACCAAAGTGAAGCTGTGACAGTTACAAAACCAATTTTAAAGATTTTTGACAGCCATGCCTAAAAGCTTTGTTTGGACCTTTCAGTAATAACAGTTTACTTAAGACATAAGCCCAGAGCTAAGGAAAATAGAAATAGAAAGTTGTGGCTTTTCTGTCATGCAAATGAAGTGGAAATCAGTTGAAATGAAAGGAGTATAGAAAGGGAATCATAGTTATGGAATTTGACTCTCACAAGAAAAACTAAATAACAATGAAAATTCTAATGAGAATAGAAATTTGCCAACTGACTTGCTTATCTATGTTATGAAGGTCAGTAGTTTCTGCAAGTAAATTGACATACATTTAAATACGTTGATTGGCAGTTCTGGAATTTGATTTTATATTACCTCTAAAATCAAATCAAAGGCAAATGGATGTAGGAATGCCTCAATAGGCATGGTAACACAAAACCTTATTAAATGTCTGCTTTTCCAATGGCTCTGTCATCTCTCAAGGTATTAGACATTATGACTTTTATTTGTCTCACTTGGTTGTGGACTCCATCAAATATACAACATAATTAATTCTTTGACCTTGGCCTATTAATTTCTCATTCCTGAATAGAAAAATACATGATTCACAGAATGGTACTTATTTTTGCTGCATATCTTTATAAAACACAATATGTAAGCACTATTCTAAGGGCTTTATCAATATTTACTTATTTAAAATTGATGACAACCTTTGGAGTAGCCACTATTATCTTCACTTAACTGAAGAGAAAACTCAGTAAAGTGAAGCACAGAGAGGCACACAGAGGTTTAAATGACGAGCCCAGAGCCCCATAGCTTGTGTGTGGTGGAACTCCACACAATTTGTCTTACAGCCCAAGCTGCTAATGACCCCTGCAGGGCATTGAAGGCCACGTGACAACATGAATGTGGATGCAGAGAGACAGCACTCAGCGGTAGTCCTCTTCTTCCCATCCCCAGGTTCTGCTTTAGTCAGCTTCTTATAATTGCAAAGACTGAAGAATTCTCAGGTCACATCAGAGGGTAAGGATATGTGCCCCTAAGTACTGAGAAGAAAGGAGGGGTCATCGGGAAAGAGTAGCATGGTGGCGCTGGTCCCCGTAGAAGGGGCACAGAGGGATGTGATGCAGTGGTTTGTTGTGCTCTCAGCTCCTTTCCACAGATCAGCGTCTCTCCTGCTGCTGCCCAGGGCCTTCTGCCACTACTCTCTCCTTTTGTGTACTCTACCCCACAGCGGGCAGTTTGTTTCAGAATGGACTTTTAAAAAAAAACATGTATTTATTTTTTTTAATTAATTTTGACTTTTCTCCACATTGTGTCTCTTATATATACTCATGAATTATACTAAAGATGCCATTAAAATAATCATCATCTTTGAGATATTTTTAGATCACAAAGTATAATTTAACCAAAAAAAGTGTGCCTTTATCTATCTACCTACTTTTCAGTATTTTTTTCAATTACAGTTTACATTCAATATTATTCCGTATCAGTTTCAGATGTACAGCAAAATGCTTAGACATCATGTACTTTATAAAGTGGTCTCCCAATGTAATTATTACATAGTTATTATAATATTACTGTCTATGAATTCTGGCCCCATACATAGTTATTACAATATTATTGACTATATTTCCTATGCTGTAATGGACTTTAAACAGACTTGGGTACGAGAGCCGTCTCTGCTGTGTACTTGCTGTGTGACCTCAGACAAATGACTTCATCCCTTTAAACTCACTGGAAAAAATGAGCAATATATCCCATCATGTCAGGGCTATGGTGGAGATAAAAGACATAAAATAAAAAACATAATTATAGTATGGCCTGGAACATAGTAAGGATTCAATACATATTAGCCTTTATAATAATAGTCATTATTTTTGAATGTGAATTAACTCACTTCAGTGGAGGCAGTGGACTTAGACCAGGCTTAGGTGAAAATTATGATTCCACCTTCAATACTTGTGTGATAGTCAGAAAATTATTTAACTTCTCTGAGACTCAGTTTCCTTCTCTAAAATTAGAGTAACTTCCTGGTGCTGTTATGGCATTGAATGAGTTAATTTATGTAAATCACCTACAACAGCTGCAGGCACATAGTGAATATAAATGTAAACATCAGTGATTATTGTATAATTTTAAAAAAATATTTATATAAAGTAAATAAAGTTTCGGTTATTTGAGATAAATAAGTTCTATACAGCATAGTACCTATGGCTACCAATACTTTATTGTATACTTAGAATTTGCCAAGAGGCTATATCTTATGTTAAGTGTTCTTACTACTACTACTACTACTAATAATAATAATAATAATAAAGGAAGTGGGAGGAAACTTTGGAAGGTGACAGATATGTTTATGGCCTTGATGGTGGTGGTTTCATGGGCGTATACTTATTCCCAAACTCATTGAATGTATATATTCAGTAGATACTGCTTTTTTATTTTATGTCAATTATACCTCAATAAAGTGGTTTAAAAATAAATTATTAAAAATAATAATTTAAATAAATAAATAATTTACAGAAGTAATAAAAAATAGACCTTAGGTTTCTCCCACTTTTCCAGTTTTATGATTATATATAAAATGTGTTTTTTAAAACTATATTTTATTGATTTCAGAGAGGAAGGGAGAAGGAGAGAGAGATAGAAACATCAATGATGAGAGAGAATCATTGATTGGTTGCCCCCTGCACGCCCCCTACTGAGCCTGCAACCCAGCTATGTGCCCTTGACAGGAATCGAACCTGGGACCCTTCGACCTTCAGTCCAATGCTTTATCCACTGAGCCAAACCAGCTAAGGCTATCTAAACTGTTTTTTTTTATCTTCAGTAGCATTTTCTCTTAACAGAATAAAGCAACAGTTGTTTTGTGACATCAGCTTTTTAAAAATAATTTCTTCATGTAGTCAGTATTAAGGATAAAAGCTACTTAACTCACCAATGAAAATTCAGATGTGGGCTATATACAAGTGAAATGAATATATTTTCCATTTTCAACTAAAAGTCTCCAAAACTACCTCCTTAGCCATTTTGCACTGCCTGAAGACAAAGATTCCTTTGCTAACACTATTCAGCAGTGATTGACATTCATCAAGTTATCTTAGAAGCACTGCTCTGCACAGCAGTGTGTCATAAAGATGTTGCATGTCCAGGTCTAGGCACACAATTATGTTTAATCGTAAGGGTTATTTCTTTGTGAACAGTTCACCTGTTTTGCCTCCTCAGCAAATGATGCGGTCATCAGTTTTCCACATGTTCATCCTGAGCATGGTGACGGTGGATGTGATAGTGGCTGCTAGCAACTATCACAAAGGAGAGAGCTTCCGCAGGCAATATGATGAGTTCTATCTTGCAGAGGTAAGCTGCTCACTGGGGTAAAGGTGCCTTTCATAAATGTGAAAATTAATTTCAATTTGTTAATTACTTGAGTTCAATCAAAGCTGTTTCTCAAGTGTTTCCCTTGGTCACTATGTTGCCTGATTTATTTCCTGTCACCATGAGCCTAAGTATCTTCCCCACAGTGTGTTGCATCGTCAAGGCAACCCTTCGCCCTGGGTGTTTCTCTTGCCATCTGGCTGTTTTCCTATCCACCTCTCATATTCTCTCCCTTTTCCATGTTGCTGTAGTCTGTTTCCTACTAAGTGTAAACAAGCACAGGTTCAGAAGGTTGTAAACAAGCAAGCCAGCTCAACAGTACCAAGGACAGGGCTGGAGGGAAATTGAAATAGATAGTACAATAATTTCTCTACTAGAGACTGAGCTGTTACAACCTGCACTAAAGATGTCAAGCCAGAAGCAGATAGGTTAGTGATTTAATAAGCATCTTCTACATACCAGCTAGAATTTTAAAGTAGTACTTCTTACTGTTTCAGTAACTTTGTTAATATTTGATTCTTACATATTTTTACTGACTTCCAGAGACCACTATGTTTTGTCATTGTGAAAAATTATTTCTAAAATATATCTTGAATTCAGTGATTACATATTTATGGAAAAATTGGTTGATGTAGTATATAACTCTTTAGAAACCCATTCATCATATAAGTGAGGTATACATATACTAAATAAATATATGAAAAAGTAAACTTAAAAAGCAGAAAAATTGCCATTTATTTTTATTACAAAAGCATTTTTTACATAAAAAATCAATTTGCCATAAAGTTGAGTCCTCCTAGATATCGAGAATTCCCCCAGTGCACTTAAAAATTGATTTGGTTCATAAAAATTCAATCCACTCAAGCATAAACTTTTCAGGAAAATAATTGATGTTATACTATGCTAATTAGACCAGACAGCCAAATGACCTTCCGGACGTCATTCCGGAATTTCGGATATCATTCTGGATGAAGCCACCATGGCAGGGGCCAAGGCAGAGGTGGTTAGGGGCGATCAGGCAGGCAGGCTAGCAGTTAGTGGTGATCAGGCAGACAAGCTGTTAGGGGCGATCAGGCAGGCAGGCGAGTAGTTAAGGGCTATCAGGCAGGCATGCGAGTGGTTGGGGGTGATGAGGCAGTCATGCAGAGTGGTTAGGGGTGATCAGGCAGGCAGGCAGGTGAGCTGTTAGGAGCCAGCGGTCCCAGATTACAAGAGAGTGCAGGCGGGGCTGAGGGACAACCCCCCCGACCCCCTGTGTATGAATTTCTCGTGCACTGGGCCTCTAGTTGAATATAAACATCTATGTGGGTATCAAGACGTTTTCAGAAGTCAGTTAACAAGAGAGTGCAGGCAGGGCTGAGAGACAACCCCCCCGACCCCCCCCGTGCATGAATTTTGTGCACTGGGCCTCTAGTTGAATATAAAAATCTATGTGGGTATCAAGACGTTTTCAGAAGTCAGTTATGAATTCCTCTCTTCATGGAGGCTTGTTTCCTGTAACAAAGTTATTATTAGTACCAAACTTTCGCTGGAGTGGAGTCTTTGTGATGTGATGCTGCCTAGTTGCTGCATGGTATATGGATCTTACAGTTTAGTAAAAAATATAGACAGTAAATAAGTTTTACATGCTGTCGCGGACCAATGAGAGGGCTCATGAAGAAATTATATGATTGAATAAAGAAGATGTCATATATACTAGAGGCCCAGTGCACAAAATTTGTGCACAGGGGGGTCCTTTATCCCAGCCTGCAACAACACCAGCATCCCTCACCCTGGCCTCCAGCCCAAGGCTCCTCCCCTCCTTCTGCACGGCCGGGGTGTAGATGCTGGGCTCACTTGCCGGGGCGACGCTGCCAAGGTCCCACCCCGGCCACTATGGGTGCCACCATCTTTGTTGCAGAGTGACAGTTAATTTACATATTACTCTTTTATTAGATAGGATATAATGGAATATTACGCAGCCATAAGAAAAAATTAAATACTGCCATTTGTAGTAACATGGATGGATCTTGAGAATATCATGCTAAGTGAAATAAGTCAGATGGAAAAGTCAAAACTCATATGATTTCACTCATATGTGGGATATAAAACTGAAAGCAACAATCAAAAAACAAGACCAAAAAACTCATGGACACAGACAACAATATGGTGGTTACCAGAGGTAAAAGGGGCTAGGGGGAAGTAGAAAAGGATAAGGGGGATAAAATATATGGTGACAGAAGGGACTTGACTTTGGGTGGTGACCACACAATACAATATACAGATGATGTATCATAGAATTGTACACTTGAAACCTATATAATCTTATTAACCAATGTCTTTTTAATATAGGCAATTATAATCAGCACCTATAATTTTGTTACAAAACCATCACACAAAGAATGCTTTGTTATTAAAAGCAGAGGGGAATATGGACCAATAGTAATATTTGCAAGTGAATTTGTAATGCAAAGATTGAATGTTAAAGAAATTCCCATCAAATTATATCTATTTGTCCTGTGAATAGGAAGCAAGGTCTCTATCCAGCCTGATGATGAGGCAATGAATTGGGAAGGTTGTGGAGAAAGGAGAGAGGAAGTGGGTACTGTGGAGAACGCAAAAAAGCTATTTAAAGATACATGAAATGCAATGTTGAAGATACAGCTAAATTTTGAGACTACAAATTTATAGAGATACTAATTTAGACAGGTCTGCGACTTTCTTAGGCCTTGCATAAAGGGGAGAAATGCAACATTTAGATTGATCCAGCTTTAGAGTATTTTCAGGCTTATAGAGCTGAGAAACAAGGGACCAGGAACTTTGGGTGGCTGGCAAAGGAGTTGAAGTGATGACCCTGTGGTCTAGGTTGGATATGAAAATAAGAAGAAAAATGAAAGAACAAAATGAAGTATAGAGTCTTTAAATGGTCACAGAAAGAACCGGTATAGTTGAAGTGATAGAATAAGATTTTGAAGAGCTAGAAGGTAAGATTTTGGTCAGAGGATGGGACCCAGGGTTTAGAATTTTAGAATAATTCTGGGTAAATACAAAATCTAGGGTTTTATATGGATATGAGTGGCTTAAACATAATGATGGAGTTGAGACAGAAATAGCAAGGAACTATCAAGCTAAGGTGTTGGCTGAATCTTTACAATGACATTGAAGTCAATCCATGTGAGGCCAGTTTTTATGGAAAGGAATGTAGGCAGGGGCCTGTGGCAGTGACAGATAGTAGAGGGCAGCCCCTGGGACTGTGTTGTAAGAAGATGTTTTAACCTAATGGAATACATGTCAAAGGGGCATGGAGGAGTACTGGATGGGGCGCTCTTCCTCATCCACATGTTATCCTACATGAGTCATCCTCTTCTCGAAAAGACTGTGGGGGAAGGTATGCATTTGGGAAAGAACCGGCTGAGGCTAGGACAGAGGAAGCTGATTATGTGAGTGGAGATTGAGAGCGTGGAAGGAATTGGTGAACATGGAACAAGACACCCAAAGGTTAGTTAAAGGCTCTGGTAGAATGAGGTGGGAAGTTAGGTGTGGTGGAAGAATTATACAGTAGTATTAGAACCAGAGACTAAAACTGCACTAATGACAAAATAAAAAACAGAAATGGCAACACATGATTGAGATTGTGTCAATTTCTCTAGAAGGAACAATGCTGGATATTATAGATTACATTAATATTTCTTCAGTAACCCAGCCCAGGGTGGTGGCCAGTCATACTAAATCAACCCTGTAGAATAAATATATACACCATTTACTGGGAATGGAATGCTCCAGTAAATGTTACCTAATTTTTCCACATACAAAATTGGTCTGTTTTCTAATGTGTTTTTAATGTGTTAGCTCATTTATAATCATGCTGTAAAAAATTCCACCAAAATTTCAAATAACTTAATATTGTAGAGTCTGCTGATACTATTTAAGTGGATTGGTAGAGTCCAGTGGTAGATGATAAATCCTTGTCATTTTCTTTTTTATATATAATATTAGGATTTTTTTCTAACTTAAAAAAAAACCCAGAAAAATAGGTTGTATAGCAGAATCTAGTACATATCATGTGTCTATTAATTGTTGACTCCTTCTCAAACCACTGAAAGTGAATTTGATTTTAATAAACCAGATAGTGGAGATTTAATTCTCTGAATTATATAGGCATCACTATATTCTTGAACTACCAAAACATTCAGAATTGGTTTCACTTTGGTTGATTGATGTTGGGTGTCTGAGTGTTCCAAAGCATATTTGGTCTTTATTCGAATTACATTATAATTTTTTTATCAGAAACTTGTGCTTGAATAAAAGTAGTTTGTTTCAAATGAGTGTGGATAGGTTGTTTTAATCAAACTTAATTTTTAATAAAATATTCTTTTTTTTTCCAAAAAGTTTATAAAGGTGGTTTGAGTTTAAGCCAAGGGTCAATAAACTTTCTTAAAGAGCCAGAGAGTAAACATTTTAGAAAATGTTTTTTAAAAATATATCTTATTGATTTTTTACAAAGAGGAAGAGAGAAAGATAGAGAGTCAGAAACATCGATGAGAGAGAAACATCGATCAGCTGCCTCCCGCACACCCCCTACTGGGGATGTGCCCGCAACCAAGGTAAATGCCCTTGACCGGAATCGAACCTGGGACTCTTCAGTCCACAGACCGACGCTCTAGCCACTGAGCCAAACTGGTCAGGGCTTAGAAAATGTTTTTTAGGCCACTGTCTCACTACTAAACTCCACCACTGCTGTGCAAAAGTGAGTGTGGTCTCAGAATGGTTGTGTTCCAGTAAAACTTTATTTATAAAAATAAGCAGTGAGCTTGATCTTGGTTTAAGCTATAGAAACTCGGAGCAGGTCAGCTAACATCTTCATGTTTTAAAATCAAACACAGTAAAGCTAATGACAATAATAGCTACCAATTTTTTTTGGACCTTCTATTATTTTGCTAAGTGCTTTAAAGGAATATATTATCTTATTTAGTCCTCAAAATGGCTATAATGACAGCAGTTCA